ATAATGTAATGCAAATAAGTTAAATTTTGAAACCATGATGTAAATCATTTTTACAATATGCACTGTTGGCAGATTGAAACTTATAATCTACAATTAATCTACATAATATTAACCACATATAGTTTTAGCACTTAAAACTACTTTAATTCTAGAACGGGTAAGAATTTGACAAAATAAAAGATAAACAGTTTACAAAAACATAACCAACTTCTCAACTTTTAATGCACCAATTCATTTAAATGGTTATTGGTGAGATGCCATCAACTTGACAAAAGGTTAAAGGTCATGAAATATACAGAGTTTAAGTCAATTTATGCAACTGCATCTTATGAAACAATAGCATCAGAGATGTAGTTAGTTCATTTGAATTTATGTACCAAATCCAAGTCCAAAACTTAGACAATGAAGTCTGCACCAAAGAAAGAACCTACACAAACTCTTGTTCTGCAATAGGTTTATGTTTACATAAGTTTACAGAAGCAAAGGCCCCCTTATTCAAAATTAAGTAAACTGTTGCATTATCATATGGCCCTAATAGTTTCTAACTTGGAAAGATTGAGTATTAGTTTGATTCTAAGTTTTGGAGTATCTCTCTTTTGTGTTTTCTTTGAACCATTCTTATAATCTAGAGATTAAAAAAGAATGACAAACAATTTAGTTAAACACAATTTCCCTAACTAAAGTGACATTGGTGAGGTTTTGGAGATTTAAGGATGTGGATTATGTCAAGATCTTACAAAAAATTTTCCCCGAAAGGTTATGTTCAACGAGTTTTAGTTCACCCACTTAACTATGACTCTCCACTCAACATCTTTAACAACTTTTTATCATGCCTTTTATAGTGACTCCCCTTAGCTAATGGTTAATCAAGTTCCTAAATTTAGCTTGATTGCGATGGATTCCTACTTTGAGACACATTAGGCCCTCTCACCAACCCCCTCTTTACTAATTACTCATGGTAAATTACAACACAAAAATAAGGTTATCGATGCAATCATTCCCCTCAAGTCTACTCTACTTTCAAATGGGTCATCTAAAGCATACTACCTGTTGCTTATTAGCAGTGTTTTTTTCTTGGGTGGCCATGCAAAAGGAAAATGCAATCTTTCATTAAGTTTTTCATATTTATTTGCACCTCAAAAAATAGACGTGAAAGAAAAATAAACATTTTCCTTAACTTAAAAAAAAAAAAGCAAAGGCAATCTTTTAACTTATGTACCATCGTAGAAGAGAGAGTCCGACATGAAAAGGGAAGAAATGGAACTGGCCAATAGGCAGAAGAGAGGTTAACAACAGTTGGGAGGCTAATCGTCGAAAGCAAAGATGCCAAAAACAACAAAATTAGAAAATTGTCAAATTTCTAGTAGTATCTATATTTTATATATATATATATATATATATATATAATGAACGGCAAAAAGCTTTTAAATTAAGTGTATTTGTTTATTTCATGATGACTATCTGCTATGTATACTGAAAAATGAGTAAACCTCCTTGATTTTTTATTTTATTCAATGAATTGGATGAATATTTATTAGAATTTAAACATTCATATATATGAGTAAATAATATTAAATTGCAATTAATAAGTATTATATGAATCTGTCCCCTAAGTATTAAAAGTTAGTATTATTGTTTTCAAGTATTTTTTACTAAAATAAATAAAAACAAATCAAAGAATTCAAAAAAAAATTAATAATAGTTACTAACTTCTAGTAGTTTCTATCTTTACGTATAAAATGAATGGCTAAAGGCTGTCAAATTTAGTGTATTTGTTTATTCAGTGATAGACTGTATGCTATGTATACTAAGAAATGAGTAGACCTTCTTGACCTTTTTATTTTTTTCAATGAATTAGATGGATATTTATTGAAATTTAAATAAATAAATAAGAAGTCAACAAAATAATCTAGAGAAAAGGAAAAAACCATAAAAAACACATCAGTTTGACATGGATGTTACATGTGCAAAGATATTGTCTTCTAATTGATTGGATACCCACAACCTTAATAAAGTAAGATAATCATAAGGTTCAAGGTAATCAAGGTTGGGAATCTGTTTTGTTGTCAAAAATTGCTTGTTATATTTCCTTAGTTGTAGTTAAGTCAAAAACTACAAATAAATAACAAAATAAGGTAGTAATTTGAAAAGAATAGAATCGAGTGCTTTAACTACTATATAGCGAAGACAAAAATGCTTTAACTACTATTTGTTAGAACTTAAAAGCACTTCAATAAAGCTTTCTAATTGAAAAGGCTTTTTGGCAAAGGGCAAGACAATGTGTTTCTACAAATATATGATTTTATGATGAAAGCTTTGAAAATTTCAATTAAGCATAGTTAAATCTTTTAAAACAAACGCAATCCTTGTATATATTTTCCTTGGAAAAAGGTAAAAATGATCAAAGTTAATTAGTTCTCTCCACAGCAGAAAAACTCAACAAAAGATTACCCAAAACAAAAAGAATATGTGTGCCACCATTAATGTCCGTATGTTATTGGCATAATTTATATTGTATCTGAATATGCATCTAAACACTCAGTAGAAGATGAACAAACCAAATCAAAAGCACATGTATTATTCAAGGAATGAGACAAACAATAGTAGTGCATCACACAAAGTTATAGATACTAAACACATCCTGAACCTAACATCCTTGATGCATAAAAATGAACCAAGTACCATTAAAACAATAAAGAGATAGATACCATCAACTCCTTAATAAATTCTTGGATGATATGAATACAATCATGAAAAGTGTAGCTAATTCTTGGAAGATAAGAATAGAATCATGATTACGAATCCAAAAGAATTACCAAATACTTGTCACTTATATGAAAATATTGAAAATAAATAAGAGAATGTTAATCCTAGATTACATGCTCAACTTCCAAAATATGGCCTTTGTATTTCACTGAAATAACTGAATATCCCTTTTTCTTTGTCTAACTATCCATCATTGAGTTTACTTGAATGCCAAATTCTTCTAAAAGGACATTCCATAAATCCCCTGTCCTTGCATTGTTCCAAGCATACTTTTTAATGTATTAGCCTAAGGATTTCTAGAATGAAAGAGAAATTACAAGATCAATATTCAAGATATAAAACACGAAACTATGGCTTAGTAAATATTTCTTTTTAAACTTTCCAATTTGAGTTTGTTAATGGCCTAGTTCATGCATCTTACATATATATTGTTTCACAATCCGATTGCACAAAAAAGCAAGAAGGTTTATATGGTCCAACCAAAAATCAACATCATTCCATAAAACAAATGTGAATCCACCAAGAATATCTCATCCCCAAGATAACCCTGCAGCATCCTAATGACAACAAATCCCATTTTAGAGCTGATAGCATCAAATATTTCATCAACTGAATGAGCATGCCGAATCTCCACCTAGATAGATGCTGATTAATCAAGAAGGATATATTTTTCTTTTATGGAAGCAAGGGAAGCTTGCTTGTGCTAACTAAATGCCTTTGAACATTGCTATTGATTTTAAGTCTGGACTAATAAATTACATCAGATTTTATTACTTTTTAAGTTTTAGGAAATATATAGAGATTGCTCTAAAAATGAATAAATATAAACATGGACAAAAAAATAGAGCTATATGGTAAACAACAGTTTCAATTTTAGATGAGTCCATATCTTAACAAGTAAATTAATTATTCTTTACCTCTATTGGATGTGATTGCTCTTATGCATCTAGATACAAACCACCATTTGTTTGCTGAAGAAATTGATTCCATATTTTCCACTCAGGGAACATGATATCAATAGCCATATAACTAATCTAGAAAATATATAATTAAGTCATTTCTTCCTTTTACACTACTGGTCGAAGGAAAAGACTGTATAAACAAAAAATCCATAACTATTACATCATAAAAGCTTTGTACACACATTCTTCTCCCTGTACAACTTGGTGAAGGAACAGACTGTGTAAAATGTAAATCCATAACAAGTACATCAATTAGATTTCTTTCAATAATAAAATTATCTTCAACAGTCGCATTGTTCACAGTTTGAATGGCATTGTCATTCGTTAGTACATGACTTTGTTCCATAGAAAACAACAAAGATTGCAAGACAATGGAAAAACTTTAACTAATTACCGACTAACACTATTAATACCCTTTTATATACCAATAAAAAGCATCAATCGGAATTTTTTTTCTTAAATTTTTAAATTACATATATTACTATTAAAATGGAACATTTATAAAACTTACTTTCTATATTATCTTTAAAAGTTTAATGTTTTTAAATCTCACATCAAGAATTTGTAGGAAAACACAATTTATTCTTGCCAAATGAAGTAATTTTGAAATAAAATCTTTTAAGTAGTGATTTATTCAATCAAGAACTCATAACTCATCATAACAAATTCAAAACATAGATTTTATGTGAAAAAAGGTGGGAAGATATCTTTTCATTCGGACACTCATAAAATACCTTAACATTAATATTATATTCTTTATACTTAGAGATAAATAAAATGAATAAAGGATTAATTTGGTAAATGCTACTCAAACCATTTAACTAATTGAAGGGATTACTACTTATTGTATAACCCAAAGTCTACTGTCGAAATCCTATCTATATAAATGTTAACTCTTTTTCAGAAGTGGAGGTGGGAGGGCCTATAATTAAAGAACGATTAACTCTTTACTCAGCTAACAGTTACAAGTAACTGCAAGGGCAAAAGTATATAAAGTGCAGATAAAGTGAAAGCTAGATAATATAATTATCATGGGTTTCATGCATGCCTAAAATATACCAAGCATGCATTTGACAATTGACAAGCTCAAATAAATAAGGGCAACTTTCACCTCGTAATTCTTTGCTATTGGTCTTACAAAATTATTGAACTAAATATCATAAATAGACTAACACATAAAAATAGCTCAAAAATTAAGGAGATATAATCATCACAATGACTGCATTCCATCTATGAAGAAAACAAAGTAAAAAGCCAATAGGGATTGAAAGCTAAGTGATTAAGAATTATACTTGCCACAAACCAGAGGAAGCTATAACAAAAATCAGTTGGGTAAAGGAAAAGCCTACGAGAAAGAGAGCCTTGGGTTGAGTGAATAAGCCAAGCAATGAAACAATATGAAACTGTTAGAAAGTGCTGGCAATGGAGAAATTAGAAACATAAAAGGTCAAATTGCAACTTTGACCATTAAAGTCCCGAGTACTGTACAGGCACACATTTGTAATTGTTGGGAAATTTCTCCTAGAAGGATGAACAAAATGCTTGTTTATAGTCTCGAAAGTTTCCAGCATGACCGAGACCTACCAAATGAAAAGAAGAAAACGGGGACGGAGGAGATGCTATGAATAAAGGATTAATTTGGTAAATGCTACTCAAATTATTTAACTAATTAAGCGGGAAAAGAGAGAAAGGAGGTACCAACGAAGGAGAGAGAGTCCGATGCCACAGGGGAAGAGAAGGAAGCTGACTGGTGGGCAGAAGAAAAGCTAACAATAGTTGGGAAACTAATCTTTGAAAACAAAGATAACAAAAACAACAAAATAAGAAGAAGAACATGGGGACGGCAAAAACCAACACTAAGAGAAGAACCAACTCAATTTGAGAAATAAGGAAGAGTTCAAAAAAAAGAAACCTTAATTGACAATAACAGGAATGTAAAACGCCTAAAATCAATACGACATCACTTTGAATAACCAAAGCCAAAAAAAAACAAAGAAGCAGAAAGGCATTAAAAGACGTCGTTTCGATGAACCAAAGGTAATACATACATACATATATATACATATATATATATATATATATATATATATATATAAGGAAGGGCTCTAATAATTGAATGACACTTGGAGGTTTAAGTGAAGGAAATTGAAACAATCCTCAAGCCGTTCTACTTTTATATATATATATATAGATATATTTTTAAAAAAAGTTGTTTCCAGTATATTAAAAATCAAAATTAGAGATATATCATATGGAAAAATGTAACCTCAAAAAACTTAATTAAGGTTGATAAAATTTTACTTAACTTTAATGATTTATCCAAATCCAATCATATTTTAATTTAAAAGTTACCAATTTAAACCAAAAATGACCTAACCCGAATAACTTGATCTTGAATGATCCATGCATCAAACTTAAATAATCCAAACTTGAAATAATTCGAAACTAAAGGGACTTGGAAATGAAATTATCCAAACCTAAAATGACTCAAAACAACTCGAACAAAGAGTTGACTTGAATTCCTTTCAACCTTAAACAACACAACCCAACCTAATTATTGCCACCTCTATATGTATAAACTTCACTTTTAGAGCTGTTAAACTCAATTGACTCACGTAGTGGATACCATAATCCATTTTTTCTTTGTTTTATTTTTTGGTACTTTCCTTTTTTTAGTTGGTAACATCTCTACAATTGTATTGGTTGTGCTTTACTTCTTGGTGTTTACTTCATTTATTTGTTTGTACAAGAATTATAACTCCAATGATTCATTTTTAGTCAATCCCATCCCACCTTTACCACTTAATATTAACCTAATTGAATAAAAAAGAATAATGGTGTTTGGAGAAAGGAAAGTTGCTTCTGCTAATTCTCGTATTTGTTTGGAAGATTTGATAAACTGTTGGGCATGGTTCACTTGAAGTGCATTCTAGCAACATTAATTTGAAGCAGGTTGTTAATTTTGAATTGTGTTTCCTTGATGCTAGTGGGTTTAAATTGAATGCTCTAAGGTGGGTATTGTGATCTATGCATATCAATTAGAAGCTTATATATTCGAAATCTTTGAAGTCGTCGAATATGAAAAACGTGTTGTGTGTGATTGTATCTTTTAAATGTTGCTTAAAGGTAGATGATGCTCAAGGCCTTTCTACTATGTAAGAATACTCCAAAAGCATTTCTTCCTTTATGCCTTGAGCTAGTTTAACTTATGAATATAGATTAGTACTACCAACTCATAGATTCTAACAAATTTAACCAAGCAACATTTAGTATTGACCATTTACAAATTTTTTTTCACTTATGTAGCTTTATTCCATATTTAGAACAACAATAAATTCTTTTGAAAATGAAATTACAACAAATGATACAAATAAATATCTCATACATTTGACTTCCAAAAAGGGTGTTAAACCCCTCATTATTCACAAAAATATATTCAAGAAATCCATACAAAATGTCATGAACAATCTATTATTTTTACTTGAATTGAAACTAGATTGACAAATAACCACAATCTTTGTAGCCTTTAGGAGGTGGCGGTGACTTGTAATAATAAAGAGGAGGAGACTTGGATGGTGGAAGAGGTGATTTATAAAGGTATGGAGGATGTGCATGGTGAGATAGAGGTATTGGAGACTTGTAGCGATGAGGAAGAAAAGGTGATTTTTAATAATATGGAGGTGGAGGGGAGAGCGAGGGTGGTGGAAGGGACTTGTACATGTATAGAGATGGTGGTGGTGGAGATTTATAGATGTAAGGAGGAGGTGGCGAGGGTGATGGTGGAGGTGGAGGTGGAGACTTGTAGATATATGGAGGACGAGGTGATGGAGAAGGAGGTGGTGGAGACTTATAGACGTATGGGGGAGGTGGGGAGGGTGATGGTAGAGGTGGAGACTTGTAGATATATGGAGGAGGTGGGGAGGGTGATTGTGGAGGTGGAGACTTGTATACATATGGTGGAGGTGTCGAAGGTGATGGTGGTGGTGGAGATTTGTAAATGTAAGGAGGTGGTGGAGATGGAGATGGAAGAAGTGGTGACTTGTATACATAGGGAGGAGGTGGTGAAGGTGATGGTGGAAGTGGAGACTTGTATACATATGGAGGTGGTGGAGATGGAGATGGAGGAGGTGGAGACTTGTAGGCATAGGGAGGAGGAGGTGTTGGAGACAGAGGTGGTGGAGACTTGTAGACATATGGAAGAGGTGGTGATGGTGGTGGCGGTGGAAGAGACCTATACACATATGGAGGTGGTGGAGATGGAGATGGAAGAGGTGGTGACTTATAGACATACGAAGGAGGTGGGGAAGGTGATGGTGGTCGTGGAGATTTGTATATATAAGGAGGTGGTGGGGATGGAGATGGAGGAGGTGGAGACTTATATATGTATGGAGGTGGTGGGGATAGGGATAGAGGAGATGGGGATTTGTAGACATAAGGAGGGGGTGGTGATGGAGATGGAGGTGGTGGAGACTTGTAGACATATGGAGATGGTGGTGAAGGTGATGGTGGAGGTGGAGATTTATAAACATAAGGAGGTGGTGGGGATGGAGATGAAGGAGATGGAGATTTGTAAACATAAGGTGGAGGGGGTGATGGAGATGGGGGTGGTGGAGACTTATAAACATATGGAGGAGGTGGTGAAAGTGATGGTGGTGGTGGAGATTTATAAACATAAGGAGGTGGTGGGGATGGAGATGGAGGAGGTGGAGATTTGTAAACATAAGGTGGAGGGAGTGATGGAGATGGAGGTGGTGGTGGTGGAGACTTGTAAACATATGGAGGAGGTGGTGGAGATTTATAAACATAAGGAAGTGGAGGGGATGGAGATGGAGGAGGTGGAGATCTGTAAACATAAGGTGCAGGACGTGGTGGAGACTTGTAAACATATGTAGGAGGAGAAGATTTATAGTAATATGGTGGAGGAGGAGAATGCTTAGGAGGTGGGTGCCAAATGCGCTTAAAATGTGGTGGTGATTTGTACTGGCTTGGTGGTGGAGGTGAAGTGTACTCATAAGGATGGTAATCAGCTACAGCAGTAGTGGCGATAAGGCAAAATGCAACTGCATAAACCAGATGAGGCCATAGCCCCCGCTTTCCGGGGGTTTCCATTTGTCTATCAAAGAAACTCTATTGCCAGAAGATAGACCTAAGAACTATTGTTGTTTCCCTTGCCTAATAATCTTGTTGCGAAGCCCTTTTATAGTGTTCTCTTCAATCATTTCTGACAAAGACTTTTCCACTCCATGAACATAACAAGCTGGATTAAAACTTTGAAAATATTGCTCCACACATCCACTTTTGACATTAATTTATTCCCACTTGTAAATTGTTTTTTGGTTGCTTCCCACTAATTGGCCCAAGCTTGTACATGACATGCCAAGAACGAGTCAAAATATAGAGTGGTTGAGATGCTGTATGCATGGCTGGATAAGCAATTTCATGTTCACTGTAAAAGCGCGTCTCCAAGTAGACATAGCCAAAACCTTATGAAGGTGATATGAAAGAGGGCTCTGGAAAGAGATACGAAGTCAAAAAATGAAACCTTGCCATAAAATAATGTGTAGTTGGCAAGACTTGGCTTATTCAAGAAAATGGTAAAGTCTTGTTTACAATTTTAAAAATACAAATGGCTGATTTATTCTGTACAAGGTTGGATTAGGTACCTCTTTCTTGTGCTTCTTCATGTGTTTTTCCTTTGTAGAATTTAGGCACAAGCTGTTTAATAGATTTGTAGGGTGCCCTGTTTGAAGTCCAGATACAACGTCGGTGACATTGAAAATTAGCAGTGAGAGGCAACTAAGAGGCGACTATATGTGTGCCTCAATTATTTGAATTGTTATGAGAGTTTTGAAATGATATATCATTTTAAATTTCCAATTAGTCTTCGTTGACAGTAAGCTTAAAAACCAAAAGGAGCATAAAAAACGTACGCTAGTCAAAATGGACATTTTGTCAAACTGAGACAGGAAGATGAGCCTGGCTGCTAACAACAAGTAGTAAGGAGCAAAATCATTGTCTAATCCCGACCATCCATGCCTGATGAGAACAGCAGGTGTTGGGTATTGATAGTAAGAATTGGACAGGTAACAAGGCCTAGCTTTACCTAGAAACGCTACATCGGCACAACCACCCTCGGCTTTTGTTTAGTTTGTCCAATCTAATCAGCAGGGCTTGCTGCCGTGGAACAACTTAAAGTCATAAAACTTAATATGCTTTTCAGATTAAACAAAAAAGAAGTAACATCGGTTAAATAAAGCTTTGCCGAGAACAGGATAATCCATTAATTGGAGAGCCATTATGCAGGTTCCTGCTATTGAGTTCAGAGTTGAGACATGGTCTAAGCTTTTGGTTATGGAAAAGTATAACTATAAAATTGAGATACGAATCATATCGATTCTCGTGAATTTTTTGTCCTGAAAATCATGAAATTGAATGTATCATCTCTTCTGACATTATAGTAGTAGTTGACATTTTCATATAACGGTAATCATTGATCTTGGGATAAATCTAAAACCACAGATATCTTAATTTCGACATTTCTGAGTATCTAGTGAAGAGGGTTCTTTTGTGATAAGGAAAAGAGATTTATGTTGCAGTCAAGTAAAATGAGATTGAAGTTACTAGCATTAGAGTAGGAGAAATTTTGTACTAAAAACACCTGTGCCAAAAGCACCACTCAATTTAAAGGCTTTTTAAACTAGTAGTTAAGAGTTTGAAAATTTTTAACAAATCATCAACGATATTCATCACTGAATAATTTTGACTCTCTTTCTTCAATCCATCCATTGAGTAAAATGATTCTTGTCAGCACCATGACTTTGTGGAATAATAATTAATAACACTCCTTCATTTGGGATTTACGATTTTTGGTTAGGAGAATAAAACCCACCTTTCTGTTGGTAACGTTCAATGCAGGCCTCAAAGACTAGGCTTCGATTGAAGAGGTAAGATGGAATGGGCTGGAATAGATTCGACCTGTAAAAATTCTCCAGTATACCAACGCCTTTCCAGATATGCCAAAGCAAAAGCAAATTTTATCAAACATCCTTCTCTTCCTACAACTGGTTTGCCCTGGCATTAACTAGCTTCTCAATACTGTGTTATAAAGGCAAAATTTAAACAGAATTAACATTTGGAATAAGACTAAAAACATCATCCAAAACTCTCTACAATCTCCGGCCTTTCTAATTAAGACGTCCATCTTCTACCATGTTCATACCTTTCACTTATTGCAAAAGCTAATCAATTGTTCTTCTGTTATACAAAGTGGAAGAACCAAATTAAAACATCTTCGTATTAGGGGAAAATACCCAAACCCAAGCCAAAAATAAATAAAAATGAAACAAGCATATGAATATTTCTTTACGTCAAGGTTTTGATCCATCACCAAACACCTCAGTGTAACATATGGGGCAAGCCTGAAGAAATAAAACTGCAGTTAGCAGCTTTTAAATTGCTGCCTAAATAAAAATAATAAATATATAAAGATATATGTTTTCAATTTTTTTCTTTTTTGGACTTAATTTCTTATAGATTCACTCAACAAAAAGAACAACGGAAGAAAAGAAAATCAACTGCTTACTTTGTTGATGCTAAGCCATCTGCTGCCACACCCAGCATGGTAGACATGTTTGCAAGGCAAGGTAATCCGTCTCTCACCTCGTTTATATTCCATCTGGCAAATCACACATCTAGTGAAAAAAAAAAACAAATAAGGTTAATTTCACCAGCAAAAAGTCTTGGCCTAGAGAGAGAGAGAGAGAGAGAGAGAGAGGGAAATTCATTAAGAAAAGGAGCTACTCTCGGGGTATGAGGGGGATGTGCTAGGCATGTTTATTATTCAAACATCAAATCCACCCAATGAAGTTGCTGATCTGAATGTCTTAGAAGTATCGAAGATGGTCTTACCCATTAATAGAACACATATTAATCTAAGTAGTGTTCAATCTTTTACCTTTCTTTCAACTGAGAGTTTAGATTGATTTTGATACTTAGCCTTGAAAGCAAATACACTTACAGACACTCTCAAAGCATTACCTCAAGTTAGGTAAATCACCTATTATAATCACCCAACCATTTTCAAGCTTCTCTTAGTGTTCTGTTTAAAAAATAAATAAATCAACAGGTTCAGTTTGAAGCCATTTAACAAGAACAAACAGAAATTATATGACCAAAAAATTTAGCAGAGTGAGTCGGTTCACATAAACCTAGGACAAATCTTAAACCCAGATAGATTGATAACAAACATAAACAAGACCTTACAAGCCCAGCAAATTCTACATCAACAACACCACAAAGAAGAGCTAGGGTTGTGTATTTCAATTTAAAATCTGCTGAAGAACATACCCAGCAGTGTGTAAAGCAAATCAAATTTAACTGACTTTTAAATTGAAGAACATAACCAGCAGTGGGTAAAGCAAATCAAATTTAACAGAGACAAAGTGAAGAAGCACACATTGTACCTTTCATTCCTTGATTTCTTCCTTGAGAACAAGCTGCACTTGTATTTTGAAACCGGGAGCAAAGAAATAAGGTCTTGGGATAGACCTCGACTTTGAGTTCCAACAGTCTCCCCCAGTTCAAGTAATTCCTACAGAGATAAAATATAGTCAGGAATGATTAATCAAAAATAAAGCAAAGGAAATACAAAAAATTTTCATAGACAGACAATCCAAAATTTCTGGGAAACGTATGAATATGACTGAATAGAATTTTATTCAATAGAACCTAGTTGTTTTCATTAAAAGCAATGGGAATCTTCTTACAAGGATGTTTGCTACCGCAGACTGTAAAAGAAACAAGGATTCAACTATGGGATTTTAAAAACATTAAAATTAAGCAACAATTTCAGCTAGAATACCATGCCATAACCTAGTTGCTGACAGCTTCCTTAGCTGTCTCTAAGCAAGCACAATCAAAATAATGCAGCATGTAGCCTACATGATTTCCAAGACAACTAATGCAGTATTTCTAGCTGCACTTTGAAATAATGCCAATAAAATTAGAGTTCTAAGGATCAAAAATATGCCCTTTGAAGTGAAGAAAGTTCTTTGCTCAGAAGCACAGTGAGTCAGGCATAACTAGAAAAAAAAAGTGTCTATTAAAATAACACTAGACTAGATAACTTAAGAATATGAGCAGACAGTATTCCATTTCTACAAGATTTATTCGAACTTCAAGCATGGTTTAGTGATTTTGCTACTTTATGTCTGGCTAATTTTCATAAATACCAATAGTTATTTACTAATTAGTTCTTTTTCTTTTTCTACTTTAAGTTACCATAGACTAGTTACCAGTAATCTACTGAGAGCACATTTATAAAATCCTTTTCCAGTTATTTCAGAAGAGTTCATCAGTGAAAAAGATGCACTTAACATATAACAACAGTTCTGCAGTTGAGTTCAGTTCAAATCAATGTGTTGGTTGATCATTTTTTTTTTATCAACTGAAATGGTTGTGAGAGATTAGAATTTTTTATCTCAAGGTTAAATTAAGAGGGTTCATTGTATATCTTGCATAAAACAATGTCAACTATTCACATTTGAAGACACTGCATCTATCACATTTTAGAAGCATTCAAAAGCAATAGCCATTATGTACCTCAACACATATCCTCAACCAAAAGCGAGTCTCTCAATCTTTCTTAATATATCTGCTCTTAACATGTTTGGAAGTTTCTAATAAAACTCTTAGCTAAGTAATATTATAGGCTTATTATGCTGCATATTTGGATAACCTATCAGGGTTGCCCATTGATAGTTTCTGGCCAGTCAAAACAAAGTCATCACTTTCCATTTGTGATCCTGATCCTGCCCCTAAATCTTACCATCAATTGTGTAACTCTTTAGCTTTAGCAAATTAGAATTTATATTTTTTTAAAGAGATGTTTTTAACAGAAGGTAACTCTTTAATTCTTCTGCTCTGGAAACATCTAGTCAGCTTAAGGGTACTGTAGGAGTTAGATTTTATGAATTTCGGTCTAGCTTCTTGGCACGCAAGTTTTATTAGGTAGTTTTCTCCTTAGCAGTCAAAGTCCTTACAAGCCAAATGAATGTAAGTTAGTGGTTAAGGCATGAATAGATGATGCTCTTTCTTTCTCTCTTCCCTTAATCTTCCGCACCTGGCTTATTCATTTTCTGCAGGGTAGAGCCAATAATAACCAATCCCATTTTCTCTTTGTTATTTTTTTCCCTTTTTTTTTTTTAATCTGGGGGTGGAGGGCAGTGGCCCACATGCTTCATGCCATACTTTTATTCACTTTTACTTTTAAGAATATTTTTCACAATACATTAGCACCCTCACTCTTCCCCACACCCCAAAAAAATCGATATATATTCTAAACCCCAAAATATATACAGCCGTACATAAGTCCTCCACCAACCCAAACAACTTAAACGGGGAGATAACTTCCAACACCATCCTGTTTGCTGCTGTCTTAATAACATAGCAGTCAATTCACAAACTTTCTTTCCTAGACCTTAAGACCTAATTCTTTCAAACCTAATCAACTACTTCTTCAGAGCCCATATTAGTAAGAGGCATTATTAACACAGTTAATTAGCATTTACAGTAAATCTATGTCATATCTTATAAGTGAAGATATCTATAGCTCACATTAACCACAAAATGTTTTTTTTAATAAACATAAAATAAAATAGCATTTCTAGCAGACAACTTTTCCATAGGTCCTGCACAAGGTTATAATCTTCGAATGCATCTTGACAAACTTGGGGCCAATAACTTCATTATGTTGTTCTTCTTTTTATCAAATTCATATTTGCACCAAATGAATAATAAGAATTAATTGAAAGGCTAACGAGGAAAACTAAATGATGTAACTTATAAGCAAGAAAAAAAGAATTAGGAGATTTTTGCTCTAACCTCATAAGTCATGTTGTCAGGATCAACAGTGTCTTGCCAAATGACCTGTATAGTTAAACAACATTTTGCAATATTTAATCTTTTGACCCATGAAACTGAATAACACTAGGATTTAAGACTCTAACTCCACAAGTATTTATTCTTGGAAAAGCATATACACTCTTCGACAAGTAGAAGCACAATAACATAGAAATTTCAAGTCATCAGTATTTGATGCTGATACAAATAATCTACTGACATGTATGGAGATGAACCATGAAGTGCGCACGAGTGTGTACAAATTGTGCACATGTTCAACAAAGAAAATAAGTGGAGAGACAGATACCTGGTAATCATGACCATTATGTTGTCTTCGTGGACCTACAAAGTTAAAGAAAACATTGAAATGAGGAAAATTTTTCAAAAAGTCCAGGATAAATATTGTTATAAGAATAGGGTGCCATCCAACCAAATGATAGTGTAAATATGTGATTAATTTAAATAAATATATAAAGTTTAAATTAATAAAGCCCCACCAAACTAACTTCTATCTTAACAAATCATACCAACTGATTCAGGTAAGCCACAAATTCATCTTGGTCAATGTTTTGAACATCTATGTACCTTATACTAAAAGACATGCACAGAAGAGCATATTTTTGAGTAGCTGTTGTTTCTGTTGAAGCCAACCTAAGTTAGCTAGGGTGGAATACAAGCCAAGCCATACCAAACTTAGGCATTTGTACTCAGCTTGCAACAAAAGCTCAAAATTCAAAAATTCAAGCTTTAGTAAACAAGGTCAAATTTCAATTCGATGAAGCTTGAGAAGTTCAATTCAATCAATCTCAATTTTTCTACAGCTGATACAATTCAAGATCAGTGTTGCTATATGTGGCAAAGTAGTGATGGTGAACCTGTTCTTATTGATGGGTTCCCAGTGCTACTGGCACCTTAGTGATGATGTCAACCGGAGGCAGCACCATTACGATGCTGATGGTCTTCTGGTCATATTGGCATCTTAGTTTGGTCATGTTGGGTCTCAGATCTCAATGCCGATGGTCTTCTAGTGGTGGTATTGGTGTTTCAGTAGTTCAGAGCCAGACTAAGATACAGAAGGAATAAGCACAGGAAAATGTAGAAAAATAGTTGAGAATCACTCTGATATAACATGCGATGGTCAGGATCAGGGCCTGTGTTGTATCGCAAAACTTCTAACATGGCTAAACTAAAAAAACACAAACTCAGAAGTTGCCCAGCTGAACCCACTGACTCCTCCAGGTAGGAAAACTACACATCATGTGAGCATTGACACATGGTTTTAAAACCATGAAAATATCTTAAAGAAGGATCCTGAAGTAACACTGGGGCAAAGAAAAGGAGAAAGCAGAAAACTAATAACTTATTGCCATTGAGAAATCTCAGTTACAATTGTATCACCAGGTCCAGGTCTGGTCACTTATTGACCAGACCTGGTGATACGGACTTGATTGAACTTCATGATGAAAAAAAACATGAGTAAATGACACCTCAAAAGTAAAAGACAGCCAACCCTACCTCTGACCAATTTTTTCAAAATGCCAAAACCTATCAGCAACGAGAAACAGACTCTTTGGATAGCTTTTAAAATTTGCTAGACTGGGGCTTTATTTGGGATCAAAGGAAATACAAACACAAATTAATCAAGAAGGTCATTGAAATCATTGATTTTATCTTCAATCATTTTTGGTTTAAAGTTAGGGATGCTGAGTAATATACTGGGAGTCAACAACTTGGTTGTTAGAAACCATAGCACCCAATCATAAAAATTACGAAAAAGCACAAACTTGAAAACAATTTGCCATTGATCATTGTAGAAACTTAGAGTCCAGGGGAAAGTTTTAAATTATCATAGTATCCAATAGTAGTTAGCAAAAGCAATCTTGAGATGGAAAGGGCTGGATATAAGTGATGCATTAAGGGTATTTTGACAGCTACACAATGTTGAAATATGTCATTGACATAATCTTTGGCCTAATTTTAACTTTCAACATGTTATAATATAGACATCACTATAAACCTTCTTAGCATTACGTTAAACACAGATTTGAAACTAAAGACCAAAGCAGAAGTGAAAACTTACAATCTACTGGGTTTTCACGCGACATTGTATTTACACTTCCTTCCCATTCCATATTCATTGCTGCAGTCTGTTCATTACTCATTGATGAGGAATTCTCTGATGCCCTTCTATATTCATCAACACATAGTTCATGGTTATCCACCTCGTAACTATGACCATGATCATAATATGAAATATTGCCAGAATCAGATAATCCAAACTTGTAAAAGCTTGAAGTCATTGATGGATACACACTCTCCTGCAAACAGAAAATCCATTTATGCTGTGATCGATAGCAGCTATTCATTTACAACAAAACATCTAATACACAAAAATAGAATACGAGATATTATGCATTCAACGACTTCAAAGACACCCAGAGACACATTCTTGCAAGCTTCGTGAAGCAGATATCTCAATGAACCAATGGATCAAATTTCAATCAACTCGCCTCTAAAATCAGCATATTTTTAATCTGATTATTCTTAAACACATGTAGACATTAAAGGAAATTATTTCAGTACATTAGAAAACAATAATTTTGAAAACAAATGGTACCTGAACATGGGAAGCACCGTCAAAAATGAAATTGACATGTTGATAAGTAAGACCTTCGAAATATTCCATAAAGCTGCCAGCACTATTATAAGGGTAGCTACTATTAATGTATTGAACCTCCATATGTGGGTTCCAGCTCATTTCCAAAAATCCGACTAATCTACGAACACAAAAAACACCACAAGCCATCACATTTTACATTTCAGAAATGCCACGAGAAATTGAAACAAATCATTAAAGAAGAAACGCAAATGCAAACCTGATCTCGTCAAAATTTTCACCAACAGCTACGTATTTTAGTATTCAGGCATTCAAGGAAGATTCCTACAAAAATATAATTAAGAAAAATAAAAAAAATAAAATATATATCTTTAGAAGAACAAGTAAACTGAAACGATAAGATTCGGTTACCGCAACAAAACGCATTACGTGTTAGCAAATTTTTCAAGTAAATGACAATGTGCAAAACATATTGATTGATTTTTCCGTTCGGTTACCGAGAAAATGCAGGAAAATGAGGAAGAATAGTGAAGAAAATTAACGTTAAGCTTAGTTTGAGCCGATCAAGGAGTAATCCAGTGATAAGCTTACTTCCCTGCACTTTTTATCCAGAATTTTCTCAGCAACCAAACAGGAAAATGAGAGAGAGAAATACTAAAACTACCTCATTAGATGATCTTCGGATCTCCAGGTGAGAAAATGCGAGATTTTCTCGGGAAAGCAGAAAAATAAGAGGGTGAGAAATGTATTGAGGGGATCAAGAGCGAGTGATAAGGAACAGAGTGAAATATATAATGCAGATGGAAATAATAAAAGTAATATTATTAAAAGAAAAAACAAAAAAGAAAAGTAAAGAGAGAGACGAGATTCTTTGCGAAATAAAGAGGAGATTAAAGAGCCGACAGTCACCGTCGCTTTTAAACAAATAACTACACTACTAGGCCTGCAGAATCCAATTATTTTATTATTCTATTAACCATAATTTAATTGAAATTTTGAATCATATTTCGAATTTAAATTTTGTAAAAAAAAAAAAAAAAAGAAACTTATTAATTTTCCAAAAATAAACTATTTCTTTAAAATTTAAAATAAAAAATTTTGGAAAAAATGGGGAATTAAATTTTGATTTAGTAATTAGTAAGTTGTTTCTATGGCGCCTTTATGCAGTGGTTTCAGGAACACGCGAACTCCGTTAGAGGGGAAATGATAGCGTGTCTCGCGGTATCAGATAAGGTAATTTAATGCCTCTACTTGCCCCTGGATTTTCCCCCGAGAAGCAAAATTAAATATGTAGTATACTGTCCTGGTCTAATTAACAACGTTTAAAGCTTAATTTAGCATAAATGTAAATCCTATTATTATTATTATTATTACTATTATCATTATTAAAACTTATTTTAAAGTTAAGAAATAAACATTTTATGTAATGGCACTTGGCAGTAAGAGAGAGCACGGTTCGATTTTTTTAACTTTTGATTTGATATTTTTTAAAATTGATTAAAAAAAACTTTTTAAACTATTTGAACCAAATCATGTAAGAAATCAATTTCAATCAATTTTAATCGATTTCGATTTGGTCAGTATTGGAGTGGTAATGAAGCACCTATTGAAAATAAAAAAGAAATTTAAGCCATTTGGCTATTGATTTAGGGTTTAGTATAAGAGGTAGAGTAAAATTTTAAGATTTTATGGACAGAGAATAGAAGAGAAACTTGATTCACGTTGGTTTAAGAGAAAGTTAATGAAGAGTAAGATAATCTTTATCTCAAAATATATATTTATCGGTTTTTCAATCGATTCGAGAAAAAAAAATTTCTCGACAATCGAGTCAATCAACCGATAAAATCAATCAATTGCAATCTTCAATTGTAATCGTCGGTTGAAATAATGGACGGTTACGATTAGTTACCCAGTTGAAACTGATCGCTGCTCTTTCCGACGGCAATATATTGATCCCATGTTAAAACCCCACAAAATGTGCTGTCACTTTACACAGGAACCCAATAAGATGGAATCAAATCCTAAACGTAATGTAGTACACCAAACCTTTGTTTGTTATTCACGGATTTAAGCCCCTCTTTTTAGATAAAGCTAAACGCTATCCAATTGGGTGAAAAACACCTGATGATTTTGTCTAACTGGCAGATCTGGACTGGTTGCTTTTTGGTTCATTTGCCAATTCCTGGCTTTCGTCTCTTTCCAAGCGAACACAACAACAATCATAAAATGACTTTGATTTTTTAAAGTTAGGCTCACCAAAATTGAACTATGGACCCAGGCAGATCCTAGGGACTGTTGTGAAGGGAGGAGGGGGTTCGTAGTTAGTGGTTGGCTTGTAAGCAGAAAATGAAGCATGTGAAATGGTTGGAGAAGAGAGGTCACCAAAACCATCTGATGCTCTCTTCAGGAAGTTGGTGTCAGTTGAGGTTAGTTAGGAATCAACCTATAATACAACACAGTCTTTCTTTGGGGGATTTTGGCTTAGCTGTGAATTGTAACCTCAAATGGATAAACATGTGTTTATGGCTATTGATTTTGTTCTTTTCTTAATCCTTTGGTTGCAATGGACTTGGAATACCAGTAAAAACAAATGCAAGTATAAATGTCACATAATGTTTGTGAATCAAGATGGAAAAGGAGATTGTTGAAGCATATAATCTCAAAAATTGTTAAGCACCTAATCTTCAGTATTAAAAACAAAAAGAAAACACCATAAAAGGAATCAAATCATCCAAGACTTTTTGGAATTTACTTCAATGGGACCACTACATTTGTTGTTGGCCTGCAAAAAAGAATTCAACCCCAGACTTGTGAATCAAGATTTGCAGCAAGGAAAATCATTCCTAAGACATGCAAGGCCCTGGTTAGTTTATTATTAGGTTCCCTACCATGTGGTGCAAAAGAGGAGGACATGTTTTATCATCTATCCAACAACTCCACATTAGTTTATTCTCTCCATCTTAAAATAAGGAAACTTGCCTAATTTCTTCACATTTCTTAATGTTCAGATGAAATAAGAGTTTAAGGAAAGTATTTATGCCAATCCAAAATTGTCAAAATTGTGCTATTTAGATTGTTTTGGGGCAAGCCTGCTAGACCAAGATATCCTCAAAATGGGTTTCAACATTTGTGGAGAAATGTTTGCTACTTGCAGGCATCATTTATAAACCAAAAAAGACTACCTGAGTTTGATCAGCAAAGTAAGAATTGGTGCTCAATTTGTGAGGCTCTATACAAATTGAATATAACCAATAAAAACAAGAGATTTGCTTTCCTGGTTCATCCATATGAGTATGACTAAGCAGGCAGACCCACAAAAAAAGTTGTGTGCTGCATGCATCACAGGTGACTCAGAACACAATCTACCAAAGCCCATTAGGCTGCTGCAATCACTGCCCTGATGCAAAGAGCAAAGGCTGTAAGGCATGTGGGAGAGAGAGAAAGATGGCAAAGAAGCATACATGAATTATAAGTGAGAGAGAGTGAAACCCAACAAAACCTAGCGTGCAAGCAAGGACGAATCATTATATTCCTACATTCTTTTTGTCTGTACACTTGTCATTCAAAATCCATCAAAGTAAACCAAAAAGAAGCTCCAACAGTAAAACCAAAACTCATGAAACATGTGTTTCCATTCCTCAAGATGTCAAACCCGAAATGTTTATTTTGTTTTTCTGTTCAAATCATAAAATGCCTAGTTAGTAACCAATTCTGCCTCTGCTGCTAGCAGTAACTTGAGGTTGTCCTCAAAGACCATGAACATGACAGTTAGTATCAATCCTGGCTCTGCTGGTAGCAGTAAATTGATATTGTCTAAAATACCCAGAAGATGCAAGCCGATATCATCTTTCTTGAGTAGAAATAAAAGCATCCCTCAACTCCGGCTTCTTTACAGTAGCCTAGTCATATAAACATGCTTTATGCATCAGCTCAAGAATAAACTTTGGCTTTCTCAATCAAAACCAAGATAAACTTCGTGCCATTGATGGGCTACAATCCGTCAATTCCTACAATGATCCACAAATGTGTTTGATATGTATCCTTACTATAAACCAGATAAAATGAAAAAAAGGAAGATACATATGGTCAACAAAGCTGGAGTGAAAGTCTACACCAATAAGGGCACCTAGAAAAGGAAATCTGTCTCAACTCCCAACAACATGGGTGAGGTTTTATATCACCTTAACTAAACTTGATCAAGAGTGCTTAGTTTTCCATTACCTGAGACATAGACAGGCAGCACCGACAGTAGGGATACACATTGCTGAGAGACTTATATTTGCAGAGTTTGGAATTGCAAATCTCCATTCCAAGTTGCAGTCAAGACAAAATTAGATGCAGAAGAGCTTAGCATCAGTGCAACATAAATAAACATTAACATATATATGCACCTTTTTTCGCTGCACATAGAGACAATTTCTCCATTAGGAATGTAAGTATTGGTGATGAATTTGTTAATTTTATAATTCCTGATCAACTTCCAAACAAATATTAGCTGATAAATATGACAACTGAATTGTTTCACATAACATCTGAAATGTAATTTGAGCTATACTCAGATTTTTCCTTTTTTATTTGTTTTAGAAGCAAGTGCTTTGCACACTTGAACATATAACCAAAAGCCAATCGTAAGGCACACAAAAACAACCCCTTCATCGCCAATTGAAATTGACAACTAACCCACACTTCTATTTTGTGCACTGATAAATGAAATAAAAGTTTCTCGAATTCAATCAACTGCTTCAATTGTGAAGAGGGCCTTCACAACTGAAAACATTTGGGCATGGCTTGATTGCACCTCAGTGCCATGTCTGAAAGCTACTACGATGCATCACTGTTTCCAGACACTATCAACAATTTTTGATTACTTTTATTACCTTTTTGCTTGAAATCCATGTCCTTCGAGCCACCAACAGATCGACATGCATTCCATGCCACAATAGAAATGCAAAATAGTAAACACCGAATAGTGCTGATTCCTGATTGCTCTAATAATTTCATATGCGTGCTCTGCGATGAATCCCGTAAGCACAATGATGACAAGAAAGATTATCAGTGCTTATTGACCAGGTAACTAGTCCCAACAAAATTCTTAAAAATTTTCGCATCATAGTACACAAGAATCATTGGTTAAGATTATCTCACAATTCTGCATGAAACACAAAATCCAAAGTCAAACCCTGTAAGACCCAGCCATTGGTAGTTTTCATGCAGGCATCAAAGGAGTCAACTAATTACCTCTTCCACCCATTACAGCATGCAGCCGCTATTGATGTTTTTAGCACGGTCCAAGACAAATACATACCAAGAAAACAAATGCAGCATCACAAGAGATGCCAAACTACCATTAAGAACATTTGTGGCACCTGTTTGAAATCCTGAACTTCTGTGCAAGTAAAATATCTCCTGGTAAGACTTGGAGCCAGGGAAAGTTCGGACACTAAAGAACATTATATAAGGAGTATCATTTTGTTCAAATCTGTTCCCTTTCCACAGTAATAAACCCCATATCATTTTGTTCAGATCATGAATAGATCTGCAATTTTTGGACCAGGTCTCATCCCAGTTTTGAATTAAACCTTGAAAACATTGAATAATCCTAACCATTTTCAGAGGCAAGCACAGCTGCTCTAACCATCATTTACTCAATGGCAAAATATAGCCTGATTGGAAAGCCTTCTGCCATTTGATGGATGAAAACCTTAGGAAGAGCAATTGAAACAAACAATTATAGAACTTAGAAACTTGGAACACCTCTGATATGGTGAAGGCCATTACTGAATAATTTGCATGGAATTAGATCGTTGGGTTTCAAGTTCCAAGCCTAAGAGAACGTCACTGTAAGATTTAGGAAGACCATAAATAAATTCAGCAAACTCCAAATGTCGTGTTAGCTGAATTAAGCAGTCATATACTGTTGAGTTTCAGGGTGAGACTTATCTCTAACAATAAACTCATAAACAGTGCCATTTACCTCAATTGAGCTACAACCAGGGGTCTTCCCTACTCCTTTCTCTTTCATCATATTCCTAACCTCCCTGCTTCCTCCCACATATTTGCATCCCCATACATATTAGCAAGCAGTACATAAATACCACTATCATGAGGGTCCAGTTCTAGAAGTTTTAGAGCGGCTCTTTCTCCCATCAAAAAATTTCCATGCATTTTACATGCAAAGAACAATGCTCCCCACACCACAGCATCAGGCTCATTTTCCATGCTATTGATAAGCTCTTCTGCTTCATCTAAAAGCCCAGCCCTGCCAAGAAGGTCCACCATGCACGAATAGTGCTTAAGCTGAGGGGACAGGCCAAACTTAGATGTCATCTGCGAAAAAAGTTTACGACCCTCTTCCACCAAACCACCATGACAACAAGCTGATAAAACCCCAAGAAAGGTGACCTCATCTGGCCTCAACCCAACATCAATCATCTCTGAGAAATAAGATAGGGCATCACGTGCATTTCCATGAAGAGCTAAACCTCCAATAATTGATGTCCAAGTCAAAGAATTCTAGATGGCATCTCATGGAAAACCTGAATAGCCCTTGTGATGTTCCCACACTTAGCATACATGTCAACTAGAGCAGTTCCCAGGGCAACATTCAAATAAAGTTTGTGTGTTTTAATATAATGATGAATCCAAATTCCAACATCAAGGGCTCCAAGTTGTGAGCATGCAGATAAACAATAAACCATGGTCACCTCATCAGGCTTTATACCACCGGCCTGCATTTCATGAAACAAAGTCAAAGCCTCCTTACTACCCTTGGCTTGAACATAACCTCCAATTATTGCATTCCATGGTACAACATCCTTCTCGGGCATCTCATCAAAAAGCTTTCGAGCAGCGTCCAAATGCCCTAATCTAGCATAACCAACTACCATTGTAGTACAAGAAACAATGGTTTTCTTCTCCATGTTATCAAATATCCTTTGTGTTTCCTCAAGATTCCACACTTAACATACATGTCCATGAGTGCATTAGCTAATGGAATTGTCAAATTCACTCCATGCTCTTCGATATACTTATGAAAATCTCTCCCAAGTTTCAAATCTTCCAACTGCGCACACGAAGAAACCAACCCAATCATCGTCACCTCATCCAGCTCAACTCCCTCCTCCTGCATTTTCCTATAAACCCCTATTGCCTCGTTTGCTCTCCCACTCCTAACATAGCCATTAATCACAGAATTCCAAGAAACCAAATCTCTAACACAACTTTCATCAAACACCTTATATGCCAACTCCAATTCACCACATGAAACCAAACAGTGAATTACCCCATTGTGAACATATAAATCTGCATCAAAACCCAATTTCAAAACATGACCAAGAATTTCAAATCCCAAATATTTCAACATTAAAAAGGCACAAGCTTTAAGCAAAGAAGGGTAAGTATAATTATCCGGCCTAATAATCCCATTATTTCTAAGCATTTGCTTATAAACAAAAATTGCTTCTTTGGGGTTTTCACTCTCTGCACAGCCTCTAATAGCAACATTCCATGAAAAAACATTTGGACTTTGCAAATTGTACAAAATTTTAATGCAATGATCAAGATTTTTGTGTTCCGACAAGGCGCAAAAGGCGATAAGGCGGCTGGAAAAGAACCAATCTGACATTAAGCCTTTGATGGTCATTTGCGCTTGGATTTGTTTCAGTTGGGGCAAGGATTTGCATATTTGTAGGATTGAGAGAACTGGATTGCTGAGAAGCAGACCATGGTTTTGTTGCCGTTGACAGGGGGTTTTCTTCCTTTGAGAGGAGGAAGAGAACGTGCGTGAAGAGAGCGATTAGAAGAAGAAAGAGGAGAAGGGTTTGACAAGAAGAGAGGTTTGGAAATGAAATGCAGCAATCTGAGATTTGATGATAACATAGAGAAGGATTAAGGCTCATCAGATTTTTGTGTATAGCTGCTTAGAGGATTGCCGGTTTGTGTAATGAGTTGAAGGAAAGGCGGGAAAGATCTTGTACAATTCAAAGGAGAAAGATTTTTGGGAGCCCATGGAATCAAGAAAATTGGCTAGTTCCGATGGAGTGGTTGAATGCTTTTCTGCTTAAAGCCGGACAGTCCAGTGAACTGCTTTGATGTATTATTTGGTTTAGCTTGTCAAGGGATTTAGTCAGACAGATCTCCATTTGTTTCAAGTTCGTTCAATGTTAAACGAATAGGTGTAAAAAATTTAAACCAGCGAATGGAAGCTTCATCCTCCAAGACTACTACAACATAGTCGTTAAGAGGATAATGAAATGATCCTGGGAGTTTCCAAAATTATAAGCTCTGCAGTCTCTTGGCAGTCCCCAGTGTCATATATTAGGAAAGCAAAGGGGGAATCTATAAAATTCCAAAAAGTAGAATCAAAATGTAAGGTTGCAACAACTCAAATAATGAGGATTAAATGGGGTAAAAATTTCCTCCCAAGAGGGCAAACCCCTCTAAACTAAGTTATTCAAATGAGAAATAATCGCCTTCCGCAAAATCTTGAATCAAATTAAATTGCAAATGATTTTCATCACCATCTGTATTTATGTAGAAAAGATAGTTGGCATGATTATGCCCCGCCAGAACCATACTTCTTCCCGAATACAATCATCTGGAGCTTATCATAGCCTGCAAGCACACCAGCACCGGCAACTGCACGGAGGATGTTCGCACCAGCACCCTTAAAGAGAGACTTGGCACCCTCATTCTTGAGGATCTGAGAGAATGCATCAAGTGAGCTCTTGTACTTGACAGCTTCACCTGATGTCATCATCATTCTTCTACGGACAGTGTCAATTGGGTAGGAGGCAAGACCAGCACCGTTGGTAATAACCCAACCAAGAGCAAAGCTAGCAAAGAAGCTATCCTGATATTATCCAAAATAAAAAAGCACGTGAGCAAAATCCTTTAGCTGGGGAAGAAATCTAACCAACATCCAGAGAGCACAACAGCAGTGATCTTATAGACATTAGACACTATGAATATTAGTTGATGCAAAAAGCCAAAAATGAATTAGAAATTCTAGCCCAAAAAATCTACTAACCTGCAACTTTCCGACGAGAACAACTGGCTTCAAAGAGTCATACATTCCAAAGTAAAGACCACGGTAAACAATGATGCCAACACATGAAATGTTGAAGCCACGGTAAAGGCCAGCAATACCATCTGACTTCAGAGTCTTCCTATATACATCAACCAGGCCATTGAATTGCCTCTCGCCTCCTTTCTTTGCAGCCTTAGCATCATTGGCAAGACGAGTTCGGGCATAATCCAGGGAATAGACAAAGAGAAGGGAAGACGCACCAGCCGCGCCACCAGATGCCAAGTTGCCAGCAAACCACTTCCAGTAGCCATCACGGTCCTTCTTGAAGTTGAACTGTCTTTTAAAGTAATCTTTGAAGGCAAAGTTCAAGGCCTGAAGCACCAAAAATTCAAAAAATGATGAATGGGCAGACAGCTCTAAATAAGAATGAACATAGGGCTATTTCTAAGAAGATATGACTAACCTGAGTGGGGAAATAACGGATCACATTGGCTGTGTTTCCTCTCCACAATGACACCATGCCCTCATCTTGGATTGTTCTTTTGAAACAATCACCAATTCCCTTGTAAGGTTCAGAGAGCCGACCAGCCCTAATCATCTCATCCTGGTTTTGAATTAAGAGCTTCACCCGTTCAATGGGAGCAGCAGCAGTTTTGGACACAGCAGCAGAAACTCCACCCATAAGAAAATCAACAGCAAAACTAGAAAAGCTTTTCTCTGATGGAGCCTGGACACATATAGGTGATGAACTTGAACCGACCAATGACAGATCATAATTTGCTGCGCATGCCTGTGTCATGGGATACCGTAGGGCCGCATTGCAACTTCCAGATGCAAAACGCCTCTGATGCAGAGCAGGCCTTTGGAAACCTCCATAGCGATATTGAACATCTTGTGAAAGGCTGGAAGTAAGATGGAGTTGTCCAGCTACCTTTTGCATGACAGAAGGGTGTTGGTGCCTATCAGCCATCACTTCTCACGCAAAATACCCTACACAACAAAACCAAATATTATGATCATAATGAGCTGGAGAAAACCAAAGCAAGACCCTGATGCCTCAAATTGTGAAACCACACCAAATCGAGATGATAAGTACAATTAGAAGAAAAACAAAAAACAAAAGAAACAAAATTTCAAAAAGGACAACAATTTGTGGCCCTATATAATTATAAACAAGAACCCACTTAGCTTCCAGATGTATACAAATTCAATTGGAATAAAAACCATTTCAATAAAATGAGCATTTGTCCCCCAGTTCACAAAGTAGAGGCCTTTCTTTCCACTGAGGTTCATAATCTTTTTCTACTTCATTTTGCATGGTTGCACTATCTAAACTTTTCTCCTTATTATCACTGACTAATTTTACACAATATCATCCACCTTGAAACATAAGGGCATAGCTGGAACATGAATATTTCAACCCAAAAATTTTAAAATAATAAATGAAAATTGCTCAGATACAAGCAAACAACACTGTAACAGAGAGGATATGAAACCGACAGATGTAGCAATTATCTAATAAGCATAAAATTTTCTTTTTTTTTTTCTTGAGAATGATTCCATTAAAATTCATGCACTTAAAACCAACTTGAATTTCACATATCCATAGAGTGGATTGAGTTGAAAATAAGAACAATTAATAAAAATCAATTTTATCTTTTTGATGAGATCAATGTTTAATGTACAAAAATTCAAGGAGGTAACTAATATAATAAAAGATTCATGAGGACAGATTGAAAGCAAAGCTACATCACATAGATTTTAAGCTCAGCTGTCAACTGTCAACCAAAAGCACCAAAATTAATCTACTACGAACGCACAGATTCTGGTCTAAAATGGAATTTAAACCATGGGTACATTCCCTAAAAGCTTCATCTATCAATTCACGCCAAACCAACTGCCAGCGGCTAAGCATGATATTAGTTGAGTTCTCATTCAAAATTGTATTTTTCTTAAGAGAAAAAAAAGACCACATGCTTATTTGATCTTTTAAAGGACCCAATAAATCAGACTCCCTATCATAATCAGATGTAAAAGACACCAGAAAAACACACAACAGAAAATAATGAAACTGACAATAACCCTCCACCCAAGTGAAACAAAAACCCTATATATCAGATTTCAATCCGACCCCAGATCCAACATAAGACATATACACAATAAAAAAACATATAAATAACCAGACAAATATATTATACAGAGAAAAAGATGCTATGCCAGATTAAAAACTGACTGACCTGTAAAAGGATATGAAACAAAGAGAGCAAAGAAAGATAAAGAAAAAAGATCTAAAATAGAAGCAAATGGTAAAAGAGCCCTGATATGGGTTTATAAGAAAAAGAAGGTAGAGTTCCAATTCAAGAGCAAAATGTAAGCCGAAATGAAAGCACACCCATAAAACCAAACCACACCCCCCCAAAAAATATAAAACAGTTATCAGTGAAACAATCACACATCACGTAATGATGTTAGTGGAAGAGCAAAGTTAGCAGGTTTCATAGGAGAAGAAAAAGAAAGAAAGAGATAAAAAGCCAACCTTGAAATGTGGAGAGACTAGACGAGAGAGAAATGAGGGAGGCAAGCAACACAAAACGTAGAAGTTTGGAGTTGGGAGTTTGGACAGGGACTCCACATGAGACAGAGTCGTTGGTTATAAAGGCTGCCACTGTGGGATGCCCTTTTATGGTGTGTTAAAGGAGTACAATTGGCCTTGCCAAATTAGAGAACGTACTTCCCTTTATTACTTGTATTACCTTTTTTGCAAAAGAATTAGTATTTGATTTTTGCACAACAATAGATTCAAGTCTCAAATGATCGAATCCATGATCTCTCCATCGATTTCCCTCTTAAGTTATATGTATCACAAAGGAAAAGAAAATTAAGGCAGGAAAGGCATGTAAATTAAGTGGTTATAGAGAAAATTAATTATTATAATATCTAAAAAAAACTTTTAAATTATTTAAAAATTTGTAAATAAATTTTTATTTTTTTATGATGTTCAATAAATGATAAATTAATTGTTAGTTAAAATATCACTTATTATTTTATACCACATGACATTAACATAGTATTGACCTCATAATAGATGATAATGTGATAAATCGATATGATGTGATAATATGATTATATGATATTTTCACTTTTCACTCGTAATCATAATAAAAGTTTATTTGATCAAAGATAAAAAAAATACAGTAATCTAATTGAACATAATAAAAAAATATTAATTTATTTACATTTTTTTAACAATTTAGAAGTTTTTTCAAATATTAAGTCAAATTAGTTTAAAAAGATTCGGTAAGAGTTATATATTAAAAATATTTTAGGAAAGGAAAGTTGTCATGGAATTGTGAGGGAACATTAAAATGGTATCTTGTATATGTATGGGTAGTGGGCGCATTACTTGGAATTTTGTTTTATGGTGCATGATCCTTGTCCTTGATCAATGGGGGAGTCCAATTTTGACAACTAATAGCTTTGGTTGGTAGGCAATGTGAATGCTACTACAACCTTCAAAACTTCTCTTTTTGAATGGAATTTTCTTTTGACATATGATGCTATTATTTTGGAGAGTTCAATTTGACAATCATTTCTGGTTTCAAATTAGTGGTGCCAACCTTTCTACTTTAAAGATAACCAAAATGGAATTTGACCAAGTTTGCCTCCCTGTTTTTTTATAACAATTTCTTACGAGTTCGGGTAATAATATTTAGAGTAAATTATTCCCATTTCTTAACTTTTAGGTTTAATTTTATGCAGATACATTAGTATTAAAAATAGATAATTTATTTCAAAAATATAAATATTGTTAATAAAAAATATAAAAAAATTAAAATATTTTTTTATTAATTTAAAAATTTATTATTACAACTCCCCAAAGAAGAATTTGCTGCTCCCCAAGACAAAAGAACACCGAGGGATGCTCCCCTCTTCTAGGGAGCACTGATATGGTGCTACTGCACCCCCTCTCTTGGTGCTCCCCACCTATTCATTTTTTTATAAAAATAAAAAATTATATAATAGTAATTTTTAAAATTAAAAAAAAGAAATTATTTTTTTAATATTATCACGTCATTAAATTAATGAAAATATTAACAGAGTTGGATTTATGTGTCTCATGGAAGATTTTTTTTTATATAAAGTATCTATTTTAAAAATTAATAGACTCATATGAAATTTCGATTAAAACTTAAGGATGAGGTATTTTACCTTAATATTTATAATTTGACATAATACTCAAATAGGTCTTTAAATCATTAAAAAAATTTAAATAAAATTTTATTTTTTTATTACATTCAATTAAACCTTTATATTTTTATTTTCGATTAAATAAACCCTTATAACTAATGGTAAACTAATTGCTATTAATTAAAATGTCACTTGTCATTTAATATTTACATGATACTTGACATGACATTAATATAAAAAATGATAAATACTAAATGATCATGTTATTTTATCAAATTAGCATATTATATTATCATCAATAATTATATGTCCATATACCATATCATCATCAATTATGATATGTTAGCATACCACATCAATATCACATGATATAAAATGACAAATGATATTTGGACTAAGTTAATCATTAAATTTATTTGATTCAAAATAAAAAATAAAATAATTTATTTGATTCGAAATAAAAATAAAAATTTGATTGAAAACAACAAAAGTATGAAAACTTATATGAATTTTCTTCAATAGTTTAAAAGTGTTATTTTAGTATTGTGTCTTATAATTTTTAAGTATTAATTAAGATTATGTTATATTTTAACGCGTGAGTTGGTGTCACTTTAATTAATAACATATGATTAATTGAAGATGTGAATTTTGTTTTCCATTGATACCAACTCATTTTTCTTAATAAATACTATAAGCTTGCACCATAAATTTTGACAAGTCAAAGAAGAATGTGACAATATTTCACATGATAGCCTAATTCCAAGAAATTACATGCCAGTCAGGTCATATGCACGTGTGGAATAGCCAACGTCCGAAAGAACAAGAACAGCTCTGACTATGTAGCTTTCATGATATCTGGTTTCATTGTCCCCAATCTTTCATTTATTAAAAACAATTAAGAGATGTTGCTTATTAAGGGCTTGCAGATACAATTCATTTTTAATCTCAGACAAGTAGGAATCTACCCAGCCCCCACCCCTGGTAATTGTGAATGTAAGCTTAACTCATGGTTTGCATGAGCTACTTTTAACACTGAGCAGACCTTCCTACAACTTGGTTAAAGTGGCGTGGGTCACCCAATCATCCAGAAGATGAGAAAAGTAAAACATAAATAGTTTAATTTTCACTGATTGGGGGAGAGGGAGGAAAGTGATGGTCTGGGGCAAGCAAATCAACTACGATACGATAGGATGTACCACTTCTAATAAACATGAACAACAAACACAGTTTTAGCATTTGGTGTCATCATCTTCAACAATATTTGGTATACAGAACAACCATGCCGGCAGGCATACAAGAGTCATTTCATCCCACAAACATGCAAAAACATGTTTGACATTCCATGCACACCTCTCCCAGAGCATTTTAATGCAAACGCAAAGGTTAAAAAACCATGGTGTACACATAATTATATACGAAACAATGGGAACCAATGTAGCATAAATATGGGGAAATGAAAAAAAGAATTAACTGAGGCAAGCACAGATGTATGGCGTGCTTTCTTTCTACCTAGCCAATTGTTGTTGCCCTTTTAACTGCAAAAACCTTGCTTGATCGTCCCCGGACAGATGATGCAATCCATAGCGTTGGATTCTTAGAACAATGGGCACATGAAGGGCAATGACATGATGATGTCTTCTTCAAAAGGATGGCTGTGATAGTTAATTTATGGTCTATATATGAAGAGAAGTTCAGGAGGGAAAATTGTCAAGTTTGTCAGGTAGAAGGGAAGTGGAAAAAAAATACATTTGTTAATAATTTGATCCCATGCTATCTTACCTCACAAAATTAGTAGGCTTCTTTTTATTTACATGGCAAAAAGAATTACCCTACCTCGTATGCTTTAAGCTATATAAGTCTTATTGCCAAATGGATTTAAATGACACAAGCATCAGCAGTAAACAGTCAACTCTTTGCATAAGTTATTGATGCCTGCCCAAATCAATCTGATCTCTGCTTTGCAGCCTGTCAATGCCAAGTGAAGTGGGGTCTAAGGATGCATCAGAGCTCCTGAAACCTACCTCCAATTCTTTCTGCCTCAGTTGCAATATACTCTGCTCATTCTCAAGCCTCATTCTTTCGTTCTCCAACCTTAGCCTCTCTAGTTCTCTGCCTTTCTTGTTGCAGTATCTCAGCCATTTAAAACGTTGCTTTTCAAGCTCAAAAGCTTCCATCTGCAAGTTTACTCTCTCCTCCTGAAGTTGCAAAATTTGTCTCTTAATCCACTCCTTCTGCTCCAATGATGACCTTGTTGGATCTTGAAATATTCCAGCCATCTCCACCTTGAGACTATCCTGTTCGGCAGATTGCGACCAGAAGTGGCCTTCCTCGGCACTTGCCTTCTTCCTCTCATTGAGCTCACCAATCCTTTCATCATCCCCATCAGCAATATTATCATCTACATTGTCCATTTCATCATCATCCTCACTATCATCATGTCCCTCAGCTTCTTCCTCATCTGACCCATTATTGTCTTTCAAGCATCTGTCAATAGGTACAAAACAGCCCTGAAGGTCAAGATCCTGGCAATTGGGTATCCTCTGTCCATTATGGTAAGCACACATTTCCTGGTAAAATAAATGTTTAGAGCTCAAAATTTTCTTTACATCATCCTTTGCCTTAGCTGAGAGGTGAGGCATAGAGTCCATAAGAGAAGGGTTCTCAACCACCCTACAACTAGTTCCTCTCCCAAGAATATCATTCAATTTCTTATATCTCTTGTTCAAGTCATTGAATTTATCCTCACATTGTTGAGGAGAAACATGACAGCCTTTACTAATCATTATCTTTGAAACTGTTTTCCACTTGCCCTTCTTTTGCAAAATCCCAGATTTTCTCTTAGGCCCCTCCACACCCTCAATCATACCATCATCACCCACACAAGCAACCACTGCTATTAGAAGTCTAACCACATTATCAGTCCATTTCATTCTCTGCCATGGTGATCCTTTTTTGCCTTTACCCCCAATGGAGTTCTCACCATTTCCATCTTCAGTATAACATGGCTCATCTTCTTCACTCATGCTTCCATTATTCATAGCACCAATGGGACTAACCCCCTTCCCTTTACCAAAGCTCATAGGAAAGCCCTTAGGGTTACAGCCTTTTGCCTCCATTACTCCAGTGGAACGGTGGTCATTTTCAAGGCCACTCATCAAGACCATATTATGGTGTGGCATCAATGAAGGTTGACCTAACTGGGGCTTTTGCTGTCTATTAATGGATGACTCAAGGTCAAACAACCCCCCACTTGGACCTGATAAAAACCCACCTCCCAAACCTGAATTTTCCATCAACTCTACAGTCCAAACCCCTTAATACACTGTTTGCGTGCAGGAGAAACCCCGGATAACAAACTTAAAGTTCCAATACTTTTATTCAATAAAACAGAAACCCAACTTCACTGACCCTGATTCAACTAGTTGCAGTCGGCCAAACCAAGTTTCTTTTATACTGATAGACACAAATCAACCAGAAAAAACACTAAAATTCTAAATTTTTACATTTCCCCCATCTTCTATGTAACCAAAACACCAAACAAAAGGGTGACTGAGAAGCTTAGGAAGCAACTGAACCCACTAAAAGATTTATGTGCAACCTATCATATCAATAATCCTGAAATCCTCCAAAAAATCCCACATCTAATCACAACCCAAATTCAGTAAAGACGCATAAAATCAATTAAAATAATTAACAAGATCCTAAAAGAGAAACTTTTCAAACTTTTCTTGTACTGCTGGACAATCAGTGGAATAACAATGCGAAAGTTTAGAAAATTAAACAAAGGTTTTAATCATAATATTGAAGGAGAAGATGTCATGAAAGGATTACCTTTGTTAATGATCAACAATGGAGAAATTCCTCAGAGAGGTCAGAGTTATTTGTTTGAAAGGGAGACCAGGAGAGTTGAGTTTTGGGCATAAGTTAAAAGGACAGAAAGCATGGGAATCTGGCAAACCGGTTAAAAAAATAAATATATATATATATTATTGGAGCAACGTGTTGAGTTGGTATTGGCTTTGAAATGCTTTTTTTTTTGGATAAATTGAAATACTTATTTACAGACGACAGGGCAGGCTTAAATGATCCTTAATTACCAATTAATGAAATACTTATTTAAGTTTACTTTTGACCATTTTCCCCCAAACTATTGGGGCTGTCCATACCGTCCAACTGGATTATTTTGTAATAGAATAAGTTCTATTTATTTATAAATGGAATCATAAGTTATGTATCAAAATACTAACTGGTATGTGCAAAACATAACACAAGAAAAGAACTACTCTCTAGTAGCTGCATTCCTTTCCTTTTCAACAAAGAAAGTGGAAAGGGAATAACAACTTTAGTTTTAATGTACATCAATCTCAAATCTTATAAGATGGTATTTTTTACTGATTAGGTTAAACTTTAATTTATTAAATACAAAATCTGTTATTAATAATCTTAAAGTAGATGTTGTTTCAAAATCAAATTTTATTAATTAAAACCGTCCACAAGGAATGTGTAACACAATTTTTGAACATCGTTACTTGTTGGATCAATCCCTTGAACAGGGATTCATGTTCTAGTTTTTGATATGTATGGAGACAATAATATTTAATGATATATCACACCTTAATTTGTTAAAGAAGATTCCACCAAGCTACACGATGATTGGCTTAATTCAGCCTGGCCCATTGATTCTATTTTGTTTGTTGCTTCCTTAGATGAGAGATAGAGAAGCAGCCTTCTGTTTCTTGCTCATGCTGCTTTGCTACCTGAATGCTTTTGGACATCTACTGAAGTGCTTGAAACTCGTAGCATTATGCATATGTGATTACTGAAGCACTCTAAAGCAAAATTGGGATGAAACCACTCATGCCATCTAATAGAGATTTACATCCATGATCTTTAAGCTAAGCTAATCTTCTCATTGGAAATGATCCATTATCCCAAATGACAAACTTTACACTTTTAGTTATACAAGAAATATAACTATATGGTAGTCCATCTCTCTTGAGTAAATGGTAAATTAGCCTTTCCAATGAAGCGATAATTGCATGAAATCTTTAGCAATAACATCAACCTATTCAGAAGCTAGGATCTGGTGGAATAATCTAAGGACCTTCTTCATTTGCATGGTTAATAACTGCAGCGGTGGGAACAGCAGATATTATGCAGTTAGATATGAATTACCAAAATGTACCCCATCAGGTGGATATGGAGTAGTGAATTTGTCCTTCTGTATCTTGGACTACTAAAGGCTTCCTATAAAACTGCAACAAGAGAGAAGAACAAACTACACTAAGAGAGGAGGCCGCCATGCATGCACCAGCTAGCCAAGGTGGTAACCGAATTCCAGTAAAGGGATATAAGATTCCAGCAGCAACTGGGACGCCAAGAATGTTATAACCAAGGGCCCACACATAGTTAAGCCAAACGCGGGAAATGGTCTTTCTGGACAGGTCTATTGCTGTAACTACATCTTGCAAGTTGCTTTTGATGAGTACTATGTCGGCTGCTTCTATAGCTACATCAGTACCAGCACCAATTGCCATGCCTACATCAGCTGCGACTAAAGCAGGTGAGTCATTTATTCCATCTCCCACCATAGCAACAGTCAAGCCATTCATCTGCATTTCGTATTCAAGAAAAACATTTAATCAGATTTTATGCACTTAATGTATGGAAAGCCTGATAGGTTAAGCAAGAATCTACATTCAAACACCTGGGCACATTTTTACTTGGCTAAACTGGATATCAAGCCGTCTTCTCCCCCCCCCCAACACACACACACACACACACCCTTCTCCCTATTTATTTTATTGGAAATTATGTAGTTTCTACTTTCTAATGAATAGCATTTCATAATGCATTTTACAAAATCAAGCCATGTAATAAAGAAAAAGAAAAAGGAAGAAGATAAGAAGCTTACCTGCAATTCTTTGATCCTATCAGCTTTTCCCACTGGATCTGTCTCAGCAATCACCTTCTCTATGCCAACCTCCTTTGCAATGGCAGTTGCAGTGGCCCAGTTATCACCAGTTACCATGATGCTTGAAATGCCCATTGAGCGAAGATATAATATAACTTGCTCAGCTTCTGGCTTCACTGGATCAGTTACTGCAAAAGCTCCAGCAACCTTTCCATCAATGGCAACTAAGACACAAGTTCGAGCCAGTTGCTCGTTTTCTGAAATGTAGTCCTCAATCTCAGGATCAACTATGACATTATAAGTTTGCATAAGCCTCTTGTTTCCAACCAAGACCATTTTGTCACCAACTTTTCCACTCACCCCAGTGCCAGGGTGCACCTCAAAGTCCCTAGCCTCTTTGAGATGTTGATTGTTGGGTTGATTGTTAGATTCTATCTTCTGATGCAACATTCTAGCATGCTCCAGGAAAGCTTTGGCTATTGGGTGCTCGCTGTTTGCCTGGAAATTTAATGGTAAAGGGCTCACAAAACTAGCTTGAGTCATCAATGGCATTAAACAATATCGCACCTTTCAAGAATTATAGCTAAAATACACTTCCAGTTAGGTTAAATCTAATATATTGAATTGCATGTTCTGTCAAAATAAGCTTTGGTTTAATTCTTCCCCCAAAACTCAAAAACAAAAAATCCAGGTGCATAATTCAGGTTCTCCAAGTTTCTCACCAAGCTTTTTATGTATCTGTTCCCTTAGCAACTTCACTGAATACTATCAGAAAAGAACAGAACATAGACACGTACCTCTGCAGCAATAGCCATATCGCAGAAGTCTTCCATCGACATACTTGAAAAGAGCATGACACTTACAACCTCTGGTTTCCCAACTGTCAATGTCCCCGTCTTATCAAACACAATTGCTGTTACCTATAGGATAGAAGAGAAAAGGTAGTTCAGGTCACAACACTAATCTGCAAAGGGAACTTGTGACATTGAATATATCCAACTTCCAAGACTTAAGTACACCTTGTATTATTGTTAAAAGACGCCTAGCCATAGGGAAATAAAGAATACTTCTGAACACGACATCTGTGATTGTGATGTAAATGACAGCGTGAAAGAGGCCTTTTGATCTGATATGCTGGTTATTTGAAATGAATAAAATGAACAAGAAGTGACCTTCCAATACAAACAACCAATCATAAAAATTAAAATTTAAAAGGGTGACGCTATTTTAAAGAAATTATATTTTTAGCAAATGCTGAGTTGATACTTTGATGAGTAAAAATTGATACTTTCCTAAGCAAAAATAATATCTTGGAATGAACCTATAGTAGATAACTTTCAAACCGAAATGAATGTCACTCAAAATTGGAAATTCAAGGATTTGTGATTCTTGTAATAACAATATTGAGATTTCAGTTCATTTGTTTTGTCATCCAAGTATAATAACCATAAGAAACAAATTCTGCAGGAAGAGATATCAAGTTGCTAATGATGGTCAACCATGATTATGAAGCTAACATATACCAAATAATCAGCTCAACTTCAATCCTGTCCCATTCTAGCTATTTCCAAGTCAAAATTGGTTTTACCTTGTGTGCCTTCTCAAGTGCATTTCCACCCTTAATAAGCACACCAAGTGAAGCACCCTTCCCTGTGGCAACCATGACTGCTGTAGGGGTTGCTAGCCCTAGAGCACATGGGCAAGCAACCACAAGCACTGAAATACCAAACTGCAGTGCAAGTTCAAATTTATCCATGCCTTTCGGAATCCAATGTTTAGGATAAAAATCAATAACTCCAGGAATCAACCATCCCAAATAAGTTATGAGAGCACAGAGAACAACCTAATATCGGACAAAAAACAACATGGTACATTCTATCAGCAATTTACATAGAACATTAAGTAACAAATCGAACAGTCATGTAAAACAGCAGAATGAATGCCATGGTTAGAATCACATAAGAATTGACATGATGCACAAGTTCTACACTTTCTCGGCCCACATTGGTAAAGGCAGAAAGAGTATAACAGAAAGCTGGCAGTAAAATGAAAGCCATATATACAGCATTACTTGTGAGCCTAAACTATTATAAACAAAGTAAAAACATGTTAAACAATAAAAATAAAAATAAAAGTTGCTCGTTCCTATCTGTGATGTAACCAGCCAAATTCATTTTGCCATGTTGGCCTCTTCGTCAAGCAGTATGAGTGCAGTTATGTGCGATATAGAAAATAAGTCATCATATATAATAGCATCCATAACCTCAGCCCCTATTGCTTGTCAAATACGGAATAATAATGCATTCAGCATATTTCTCTGAGATCATTTCAGTATTATGCAACAGTCAATAATATATGGGTTTTCTTGTCTGGAACTCTTACCCAAGCACTTGAAAAGCACAAATCAGCGGCTCCGTCTCAGAAATAGTCTCCATAGATCATAAATGTGCACAAACAAATAAATTCTACCACATAAAGAACTAGATTTTTTTCTCTGATTTTTTCCAAATTCTGCAGAATATAATTTGTAATTTTGGCTTAACCAAACAGAAAAGTTAAAGGTTCAAATGAGTAAACCATATGACAAACAATTCAACTGTCCACAATTATCTGTGACAAAGCTCTAGATGAAAAAAAAAAATTGTGCTACAGAAGTCAGAGTTTCCAAACTCCAGCCGAGAGCCTGATATGGGGAACTGGATGTTTAAAGCTATTTGATACGCTCAAATTTCCAGATAACAATTTAAAAGTTTTTAATATTTTGAAAAGATAAAAAGAAGAAAAGAAACATTTTAACTAAAGAAAATCAAGAAAAAGAAGTTGATCAGCTTTATGAAAAAGCAATAAACAAAATTTTGAGGAAGTAAAAAAGAACTTACTGCAGGAACAAAAAACCTAGATATCTGGTCTGCAATTTTCTGAACAGGTGCTCTGGCAAGCTGAGCAGCTTCAACAAGCTGAACAATTTGAGAAAGGGCAGTTTCTGACCCAACATGAGTGGCCTTGATCTGTAAACATCCATTCTCATTCATAGTTCCACCAATAACCTAATCATGGCAATCGAAAAAAAAAATCAGCAGTTTAAACATTTAGGCATACATCAAAAGTAAAAAATAGGCAAGAAAATAATACCTTGTCACCAGGCTTTTTAGCAAGAGGCCGTGCCTCCCCTGTGATCATACTCTCATTCACATAGCTTTGACCATCAGTGACAATGCCATCAACAGGAACTTTCTCCCCGGGAATGATCTTGATTATATCATTCCTTTGTATTAGTTGGGTGCTGATTTCCACCTCTAAGACAACATTTCCATCATCATCTAATGTTAGCAAACGAGCAGTATCAGGAGCAAGGTCCATCAGCTTGGCTAAAGCATCTGACGTTTTCCCTTTAGCCACCACCTCTAAATATTTTCCCAAGAGAATAAAGGATATCAACATTGCACTTGTCTCAAAAAAATCTTGCCCTTCAAATGTATCTGACATCAGAGCTTTAATTGCTATGTAAACAGAGTAAAAATATGCAGCATTGGTGCCCATGGCAACTAAAACATCCATATTAGCAGATTTTCGTCTCAATGCATGGTATGATCCTGTATAAAACCTGGCAGAGATATCAAGAGGCAAAGAACTATTACTCAGCAACAACTGGTCTATAATCAGTATATGCAACTTCTGAGGAATGGAAATGCTGAAACCAATATCTATTGTACAGGGAAAAATGAATATCAACTCATTACCTTCGGCCAACAATGAACTGCACTGGTGTGCAAAGAATCCATCTCAGAAGCAACCCAACAGTAAACATGTTGTAGATCTTGTATTCTAACCAATTTCCAAAAGGAGGAAGCATTGGTAGTACCATGGAGAATATAAATACCGGAACAGAGAACAGGCAGCTTGAAAGGAACTGATCCCTATACATACTAATTTCATGCTGTTGCTCAGCTTCTCTTTGTCTGGGGGGTATATACAAGCTTGCCTTGTATGAGCCATGACCAACTTTATGTATGCCTTCTAGAAGATATCTTGGACCAGTTCGGTCTGGATCATAGCTGACAGCGACCTTTTTTTCTTCCAAGTCTATTTCAATGTGATTAACACCTATGGCTGACTCAAGGTAGGATTGAATAGTGCTCATCTCCTCCATTGAGGACACTCCATCAAGTTTTAGATGTACTTTGTTCGCTTCATTTCCAGAATTAATGAGATCAGCTCCAAAGCCAGTATCTTCTATTGCTTCAATGATGCGATCTGGATCGGTAACATTTGGATCAAAGTGAACCTTAGCTTCTTCAAGAGCTAGACCAACCACTGCTTTTTTAACTCCATCCAACAATTGTAAAGCACGTTCAAGGGACTCAGAACAGCTTGTACATGCCATTCCCTTAATCCTGAGCCTACAGACTGCTATTTCTTGCTCTGGAAACTCAGTAACAGGGAAACCAGCATCCTCTATTGTCTCTTTAATCTTTTTTGTCTAAAATAAGTTGCACAGAAATGCTTTGAATTCCCAATTATGAAGTGAAATAAACTAATTTTAATGAAATCAAAAAAGAAATACAATACTAAAGCAATACAAAACACAAACTAATTTACCATTTAAGACAATGAAGATAAACCTGACAGAGTTACACTAAACTCTGTATGAAGAGTTCAATCCTATTAGAAAAAGATAGAATAAGGCCTATGATTCGGCACCGTTGTTTTCCCATGCAACCTTTGTTTGTGCGTCTGGTGCCATGGTGGTGGCAGTATGGGGTACAGTAATACAAGTTATCTACATTTTTATCAGCATTTTATAGCCATGGGTGCATGACACACACAGAGCAGGACAAGAAAACTCTATCATAAACCCTCTTCTAAATTAATATTCAGATTCACATATCTAGGGGTGTGCGTCGGTCAGTTTTATCGGTTTCGGTTCGGTTTTTAGTAAAAACCGACTAAAAATTTCTACAATATAACCGACTGAACCGCATAAGATGTAATTTCTACAAATTAGGTCGGCGGACTCGCGGGGGGACTTAGGCAGAAATGGGTAAAGGGTAATTTTATCTTTAAACTAAAAAAAAACCCCCACCGGTTTTTCGGTCTGTTCGGGGGGGATCCCCCCCGACGACCAAGCCGATCAGCCGACGAGGCCGATCAGAACAGCCGACGGTTGTGGTCGGTTGCCCGGTCGCAACCGACCGCCGCACAGTCCTACACATATCCCCTCCCTTCCTTTTCATTTCAGCACCTTAACGGAAAACCCCAGAAGAAAAATATAGTCAAAAGAGAATGTTTATGATCCAACTTTGTATCACAAATTAAAGCATAGGTCTGCTTGCTATAGAATGAATTTATTAGCAAGAGCAGAGACAAAAATTTAAGAATTGTCTGTTAAGAAACAAAATCCAAGCAACATTATGTTACAATAGCTCCAACAAATTGTAAGAAATCCATAAATACATTGGAAAAAAGGAAAGGGAAGCAGTTAACGGAAGCCTATAGACAAGTTGTCTAGGGTAATCATAAATCATAATCCACATTTTTTTTAAAGTTAAATCATTATCCATATTAATATGACAAACGTTCAATGAATTTCTTAAAACTTACATTTATGAGCTTTGGGACATATTCAATTGCGGCTTGACCTTGAATTGGTGACACCGAGACACTCTCAACACCCCTGAGCTCTCCAAGCACGGATTCAATGGAAGTCACACAAGATGCACACTTGATATTCCCTATTCTGAGCATCACTGTTCTCTTCCTATCCAACTTATCAACAGGTTCAGGAATAGTTATGGTAACACTATCCCGGGGCTCCAGCAAAGGCCTATTAAGGTCGTCCCTCCCATTCAATTCAATTTTCTTGCCTCCAAAATTAGTACTCATGGCTTCTGCGAAAAGGCAGTAAGGGAAACATAAAACTCAAAACAATTTACACTCTGTGTCAGTAATACAACAATTTCCAATGCAAAACTTCGAAACAAAAATTCAGTGAAAGATACGAGCAAAAGATTTTCTTTCAAGGTCACAGAACATTAAACGAGAAAAAAACAACAAAATCAGAGCTGAATCATTAATTTAACAACTGCAGAATTCAGATAGCAAAAACAACTGATTGTAGTATCAAATATAATTACATAATTGAGAAAAAAATTAAAATCAAAGCACATGTAAACAGCCGCCAAGACTTGGTACAAATCGAACACGATGAAACTTGCTTAGAATTATAGTTTATTATCAAAAAACATAAAAAAAACTAAAGCCCACACAAAAGTTTTCATGGAAACAAAACAAACCCAGAAGAGAACTTGATAGTTCAAAATGAAACCAAAACCTTTGCTTCAAAAAAAATATGAACTTTGGGCAACTCAGAATATGGAGCGCTAAACAAAGAACAGAACCATCAAAAGAGAAAAACAGAAACCCAGAAGTTTAAACAAGCCGAAGAACTAAAAACCATAATTCAGATAGCAAAAACACTCACAGTCACGCATATATAAAATCGAAGACGACTTTTTTTCAAGGGCAGTTAGGGTTGTATTCTTTTGATTGGGGAAAAAGATAGAGAAAAAGGTCACAGTTTTTTTTTTCTATTGAAAAGAGGTGGAATTATTAACTTAGGTTATAGAACTAGAATTTAGATTTAATAAACCTGATTAAATTTGCAAGATCATTTTTTTTTTGGAGAGGAAAGGGAATTAAAATGGACGGTCGCGGGAAAGAGAGAGAGAGAATAAGAGAGAAAGAAAACAGAGAAGCGCCAGACCTGCCTTTTTGGAGGAGGAGTGGGCGGAGGGTTTGTCTTATATAAGTGGCGACCTTTTTGAATATTTGAACTCAACGTCTTATATGCCGTTCCCACCACCCTGTTTAACCAGCCTGCCCTACCATAACTATGCTTATGCACAATTAACCCACGCCTCGCTACTACTTTATATATTTATACATACATAGAGAGAGGAGAATAGCCACTCCAACTTCAGGCTTGGGCGTGAATTTTGATACTTTACTTTTAATATTACTATTTTTCTTATATCAATACTTTACTTTTGGAGATAAAAGAATTTAAGTACAATAAACATTGGTACAAATATTGAGAAATTCTTATCTCACACATATAAAATTAAAACAAACTACTGATTAAACTCAAAATTAAAATTATTAAAAATTGAGATTGACGATTTTATTAATTGAGTCAACTTGTCATTCTATAACTGCTATTTTTTATGCATATATATATATATATATATATCTACCTCTTCATTTTTTTTTTTGACTATGATATATTGGGGAGGGGGGTGGTAGGATAAGAAAATGTAGATTGTTTGTCTTATTCATCTGTGTCGTAAAATTTTATGCTGAATTAATAAATACTCACCATTGGATGGTTGCCTTGGATTTCTTCAGTTGGAAGAATTGATGCACCCACGTTGACTGAGTCATTTATTGAATGAACCCTTTTTTTTTTTAATTTGAAAAGCGAATAAATCTTTATCATTGCCACTGTTATGATCATTACTAGAAAAATCTTCACATCGTACTTTGGACCATTAAATATATATAAACGATTTGTAAAATGATTTTTGGCGGATAATAAATAATTATCAAATATAAAAGAATTAAATTGATATAATATTTTAAAAAATTTAATTATTCAAAAAATGTTAAATAAGTATTTATTCTTTTATTATAATCAATTAAATTTTTATATTTTTATTTTAAATCAAATAAATCATTATAATTAACAGTTGATTAATTATTATTAATTAAAATGTAACTTATTATTTTTATGTCATGCGATGTTGATCTGACATACTAAAATATCGTAGTGAATGGAGATAAGAGATAAGACATGTTTATGTTATATGATGATATTACAATGTGACATTTTCACTCTTCAAGTTAGTATAATGTGAGTATAAAATTATAAATAATATTTTGAGTAACGGTAATTAGTCAATTTGAAAAACCACATCTTACTTCAGTGAATTATGATAGCGCGACTAAGGCATAATTAACTTAAAATGAAAATTTAGAACCTCCCAATCAACTATTTTAAAAGAAAATGATAAATCGAATATTCATGAAATGCACTAAATTGATGATTTGCCTAGAAGCATTTGTTTGTGTGTGTCTTTTTCTTTTTTCTGGTAATGTTTTGTGTGTGTATTCAATTTCATCCGTTTTAATTAATAAATTTATGTTTTATTTAATTATTTTCAATTGGGAAGTTTAGGCGTGAATTTCACCCAATAAACTTTATCTGACAGTAAAGTTTTACCATGTACTGTAATGCTTGCAAAACTTTGGCTTGTAAGGGATCTTGCACACAGAGCCAAACAGCAAAAATGGAGGGGAGGCTACTGAATATTCAACTTGATGTACTATACAAAATTTATACACCCTACGATTTTTACCTAACCCTTACCGGCTGACCCTGTTCAGTAATTACAATTGACTAGTGGAAATTTTACCATGGCTTGTGTGATAACCTAGCGTTGAACCGTGCACTGGTTCTTGTATGCCAAAATTAACCAAGCAGTAAAAATGGAGAGGAGGCTACAAAGTTGGGTGAAATTTTGTACTCTAACATCTATTTATGGAGTTAATTTCTGTAGGAATTAAAGTGGAATTGGAAATGCCTTAATATAAAGCTTAAAATGTTTGATTGTGATTGAAAAGCTCAGCTTCATCTTTACGACCAACAATCCAACATGCAACAAATTGATGAATATAATCAGTTTGCTCAATTGTAAGAGCAAGTTCTTATACGCTTTTGAGATTTTTTTTTTTTTAAAGATGCGCTTTTAAGATTTAATTAAATAAAATTTATCAAATTAAACTTTATAACTATATATCAAATGCATATATAAATACACTTATTTGAATTTTTTTGAATATAAATTCAAATTAGACTTTATATAAACATGGCCCTAATTAACATGATATAATGGATAATAATATGACATATTTATATCTAGTGATAACTTAAACATTAGAAATTTTTACTCTTCATGTCAGCATCATGTTGACATAAAATGATAAATGATATTTTGTCTAATGGTAATCAATTAACCGTTAATTATAATAGTTTATTTGACTAAAAATAAAAATATAGATTTTATTAAACGTAATAAAAGAATAAAGATTAATTATTTGAATTTTATTGAATAGTTCAAAGATTTTTTCAAATATTATGCCATTAACGATTTAATGTCATATTACTCAAAATTAAATCAACTATCCTCATAATTATAAACAACTGATTTTTTAATTTAAATGGCTGTTGTGCTACAATAAGCGTAAACTTCTACCCGAAAGACTTGGGGTCGATTTAGCGTGTGTTGTGTAAAGGGGAAATAACATATTGCCTTTTATTCTGAAATTGCACCAAAAATTAACAGTTTATAATTTTTTTTTGGGTAAATTTGAAGAAATCTGAGGATGAGAACAGTTTGAGTAGGATCTTAGACCTTATCTAGCTAGCCTTAGTAATTTGTTGAACTTTGGACCACCAAAAATATAAATAATAGAAAAGAAAGAGAGGGTCCAAAATAATCTGGTTGCTCTTTTAAGGCATGATTGGCGTAGGAGAATCATGAATCATGCATCTGCTGCATGCACTTGATGTATTACCCACTAAGGGTTCAACATTCCCATAAAGATATATATGCTTCGGTATCTGGAAAAATAGTGATGGGCACATTATATACAAGGATGATCAAGAAGCAAAGGTCAACTTCATTACTTATCTTTTAGCAGAAACCCAACGTTACCAATCCCTTTTCTCTGCTGCAGCTGTTCTTTTTCCTTTGTTAGATACTTTCTTATCACCAACCCCAACATTTTTGGACCTAATTCTGTCTTTCTCGTTTCTTGTTATATTGCTGTCATAATTCGCAGCTCACCACTGTGTTAAGGTATATAAACCACAACACTTCTACATTAACAGCTGAACAAGTGGATCTACAATTCGTTTGTATGCTAGCTAGCATTGTTTTAAAAATCCTTTTTCTTTTTCCCTTTCTTTCTTCTCCTTCATAGATAAGCAATGGAATAATCCATGAACCAAAAAGGAAGAAGCAGTGGAAGAATCCTGCACTTGAATTCTATATGCTTAATGTATTTAGCTGCATTGTCTTGGTTTGGTTATAATACGGTAAGAAATAATCTGTTTTCATCTCTGTTACCTACTCACCTTCATATCAAACCCCAAAATTATTCAAGACTTATGTGAGGAAATATTACCAAACTTCTATAATGATTAATTGGCTGTCGTATATATGATTCACTTAAATGAACGTTGACGTAGGATATACTTGTTATTGAACACATATAAATTTATTATTCTTTTTTGTCCCTTTGTATAAGAGGAGTGCTAGCAACACCCGAACTTAGCTTGTCAAGAATTTTAGGCAAATCTTGTACTCATCCCATGCTAGAAAGGACGAGATATAAGGAACAGGAAGAACAAAACAAATTTGGCTTTGAGATGTGCAAATCACTTTTTTAAAGGCTATAGATTATGCCTTTAGAATACAATTATAAAGTCTCAAAATTCTCCAAACCGAATTAGTAAAAATGGTTTTGAAAAAAAAAAACCTTCAATAATTGATATAGACATAAGTTTCTGTTGTATAAACATAAAATTTTTTTTATACAACTATTATAAACAATTTGTTTTGTTAAACAAAATTAATTAGATTAATTTTATTTAAATTCCAAAAATAAAGTTTGATATTAAAATATTAAATACATTCACCAAATAAGCCCAAGGTACCAGTGTGCTCATCTTTGATAATAAATTTTCAATATTGGGCCACTAGGATAGCCCTAATAAGCTCAATATGTAATGAAACCAGTACCTCATCTCCCTAAAAGGCTAACTTTATAGGTGTGCAATACCAACGTTTATAAACTTTTCAAAATCTCCCTACTTGTTCGATGTGGGATTGAAGCACTATGTTTATTTCTTTTGAAGTGATTGCTGTGACATTCTCTCATAATCAATCCGACAATGCCCTTATCACTGATGGCCACCTTGCTTGCCATGAGTCGGGTCTAAGCTGAGTTTGCTTTAATACTATTTTGTCACAAGCTCGTTACCCTTTCTCCAAAAGGCTAACTAGATAAGGTGTGCAGTGCCCATGCTTATAAGCTTTCCAAGATTCCCTTACTTGCCTAATATAGGATTGAAGCACCTTACTTCCTTTTTTTGAAACACTTGGTGTAACACAATGCACTAGGCCTCATCCACTTCAATTGGTCCAATTATTAAAGATTGGAGGGTTGTCTTCTTCATACCCTTTATCGAAGGCCTTTCTATTAAATGTGAAACATGAGATATATAAGTATCAAATTTTTTCACTTTAATTTGGCAAGAAAAAATATACACTTATTTTGAAATAAAATAAAATTTTGATAAAATAAAAAAGGAATAATACTCAAATAAGTTCCTAAGTTATTCAGAAAATTGAAATAAGCTTTTATTCTTTTATTACATTCAATCAAGCTCCTGTACTTTTATTTTGGATCAAATAAACTCTTATAATTAATGATTAATTAATTGCTATTAATCAAAATGTCACTCATCATTATATATCTAGATGGCATTAACATGGTGTTGATGTGGAGGGTGAAAAATGTCATATGGTCATGTTACCATGCAAAATTAGTATGTTATATCATTATTAATTATAATATGTTAATATGTCACGTTAGC